ACCACCAAGAAAACAGAGGAGTGGCTAAAGAAGAAGCACATTAAAACATTAAGATTCAAGTTCAGTTTTACTTCCTCATTTATTTATCTCAGTTTGGCAGTCCTGGCCCTAGGGTTCAGGACTGCCAAAATGAATTAATTAAATACACCATTAAATAATTAATGAAATGTATCAATAATTAATATGGCAATAAATAATTAATTAAATATGCCATAAATATGTATTTAATTACGTTCCATTTTATTTAATTAATGACACATTAAATTAATTATTTAATTGGTGTATTTAATTAATTCATTTTGGCAGTCCTGGCATTCCATATATTATAGCTATTGTGGAAAAGAGGTAACACGATTTATTTATACTGAAATATGAGGATCAGAGAAAGCAGCTGGCCCAAAACCTAGGGGAAAATGAAAGTCAACCTGGCTATTACTGATACACTTCAAAAGAACTCATAAAGTTGCTTGGTGGGATTCATCAGGTACATTCAGCTGCTTCCTGTAACCTGTGCCTTTACCTGCACCTCCCTGGAATTGTTACAGGCGATTTCAATTTTCTGTGTCGACGCTGTCGTTTCCTGTCTGTGCATTTCCGGCTACCTTATCTGCAAAGATTCACTGCAGAAATTAATCAACTCTCCACGAGATCGCATGTTTGATTTTTCCCACTGAGCACCGGTTGGTGGCGGTATTGCACCAGTTCGCCGTGTGCTAGGCGCCAGTGAATTCATCATGAAGAAGAAGCCAATAAGGAAATGTTACACTGAACGCTTCCCAGGATTTTCCTAGAAGAAGTTAATGGAGCAGACAGCAAGTAATAGGTAGATTTTTTTAAAATAACCTCTTGTTTTAACACAAGTGCAAACAAATCTCACGTCGTAATGTTCTTGTTCTCCTTAATCAGCATGGACAAGGTGGTAAACTGTTTCAAGAAAAGACCAGATGCTGTGGCCAGACTGATCTGCTTCCCCTGGGCAGGTGGAGGGTCCATACACTACGCTCGCTGGGGAAATGTCCTCAGCAGCTCTGTTGAAGGTGAGGTGCCCAGAAAGCATTTCACGTGTACGTGCTTGCACGTTGTAACGAAAGCTCCAGGAAGCAAGTTGAAAAGAAATGTGGTGGTCTGGTATAACTAGTCTTCTCGTCTGTGTTTATGACTAAAGGACAGCTGGACTAAAGATTTTTGGAGCACAGAATAAATTCTTGGCTCTTGACTAAATTTGGTTATCTGCAAAAGAGTTGAGGGGAAAAAACTACACTTTAGAAAAAAGTTTTGCCATAATTATATATATCAAGATTACCTTTTAACTTTTAAATGTATAGTTTTTAAAATCCTTCTCCTCACATACAAAATAATCAATAATCAGGCCCCATCATATCTTAAAGACTTCATAGTACCTTTAATATCTCAGCAGAGGACTTTGCTGTTTAAGATCAGCCTTAAAACTTTCTTTTTAATTAAAGTTTATAAGCCAGAGCGGGATCAGGTGACCCTGAACTGTCCCCCAATCATGCTGCAATACATTTAGTCTGCTGGAGGGCTTCCCATGATTAGTGTCTTCTCAGTCTTTGCATGTTTACACACCTATTTGCATTTGATCATTAGTTTTTACTGAACTCTGTCTCTCTCATGTAGTTTGCTTTTATTCTTGCTGCCTCTGCGTTCGTGTCTTTGTCTCGTGTCTACAGGTGGTGGCATTAGCGCTGTTCCCTCACACCAAGAAGGTCCTGGGTTCGAATTCGCAACTCTGGCCGGGACCTTTCTGTTAGCATGCGCTCTAGCACATTGCGGCTTCTATCCAGATACTCCAGCATCTTCCCACAGTTAAATCACTTGCAGTTATTGGGGTTCGGTTAATTGGTGATTCTAAATTGCACATAGATGTGAATGGTTGTCTGTGTGTGTGTGTGTGTGTGTGTTCGTCCTGTGAAAGAGTGGCGACCAACTCTGGCGTGTACTGCGCCTCATGCCCTATGACAGCTGGGATAAGCTCCAGTGGTAGTGTAGTAGAGGAGTAGTAGTTCTCCTCTGAGTCCCGAATGACTGAACTCCTGACCCTGTCTGTAAGGGACAAGCCAGCCACCCTTCAGAGAAAGCTGTTTTCCACTGCTTGTATCTGTAACCTCGTGCCAGTTATGAGCAGAATTGCCAGCACTCTAGTCCGTCACTTAAAAACAGACCTGGCATTTAAAAACAATCAATCATCAGAATTAGGTTTCTACACATGCCTCAGAGGACTTTTATGCTTTGAATTATTTATGGTTACTCACTCATTTACTCTGAATCAAAGGAAGACAAATACTCAGAAGAAACATCACCTCATGTCTTTACACTGTTTTTCTTTCTTTCTTCCTTTTTTTTTTTCTGTAGTGTTGGCTGTCAAACTTCCCGGCAGAGAGAGTCGAGCTAAAGAGCCATTCTTCGAAAACATGCAGCAGATCGTGGATGAAGTGATTAGTGTGTTGTTGCCGCTGCTAAAGGAGAAGCCATTCGCTCTGTTTGGCCACAGGTATGGCGAGAAAAAATGATCCCTGAATAAAAACAAGGCTGTCGTCATAAACAGAACACTGCATGGTTTTAATCCCTGCAACATAAAGAAAAAAATTCTAATCTGTTTCAGTTTCGGTGCCTTCACAAGCTTCGCTGTTGCAGACGCGCTGAAGAAAATTCACAACGTGGAGCCAGTTCACATCTTTCTGTCTGGTGCTTCTGCACCTTATGTAAGTAAAACTACTGGATGACCTGGAAAACTACTTATTACTTGAGTCTTTTTTTTGCTTGGAATATGCTTTTTAAGTATTTTTTCTTTCATTGCTTGTGATATTTATTAGTTCCACGAAGCAAAAAAAGACAAACATAAACCTGTTTTTTGGGGCTGTGGACTTCAAATCTAGTAATAAGTGATGCAGTGACAAACGTGAAAATCCTCTCTGTGCTATTATGTCACCACTTCATGCTTTATTCTACATTTCTGAGCTTCTGCCACATAATTTTTACCCAAAACTCGGATCACCAAAGAGATTAAAATTCTTTCATTGAAACTATATTCACTATAAGCTAATCACGTATTTTAAAATCCATTTAAATTAATTAGACTTAATCTGTACACACATAACTGCCATGAAAGCCCTGATCTACGAATCCTGATGTTCATATTCAACAAACATCAGTGATAACATTTGGAAAAGCTAAACGTTTGTAATTTGGCCTCTTTAACGTAAGAAAAGAGTTGGGTGTTGTTGATATGACACGACAACAGCACTGTACTGTGTTGTTCTTTGTCTTTAAGTCAGAGACTCGCATTAAAACCCCAAAGAGAAGCGACTTGTCTGATGAAGATTTTCTTAAGTGGTTAATTTCGATTGGAGGAACTCCTCCTGAGCTGCTGGCGAACCCTGAAGTCCTCAAGCTCTTCCTTCCCGCCCTGAAGGCTGACCTGCACGTAGTGGAGAACTACAGGTGGGCGGACAGCTGTCTGTTACTTAATCTGCTCTTAACATTTCTAAAACCAAGCGTAGATGTTGTCAGTGATGGGAGTTGCTGACCTCTCTGCAGATGTAACAAGGCGAGCAGCCCGCTTTTCTCCTGCCCGGTCACGTGTTTTGACGGGAAGGATGACATTCCTCATGATTTACAAGGTCAGTGCTCTAACAGGCCAAGAAGGGGCTGTACGTTACTCTTATGGTTATTACATTGACTTAAATGCAAATTGCTACTTTGTGCTTCTCCCTTCTTTGTTTTGCCCTCAGCAGAGCAGTGTTTACGTAACCCAAACAATCCGTCTCCTTCTACTGAACTCTGACTTCAGTATCTTGCAGTTTGTTCATCGGAGTGTGAAAGTTAGATCGAAAGCACTCAGCCATAGAAACAACCTCTTGTATGTATGAATGGGTGAATGATCCTTGTAGCACAAAGCGCTCAAGCAGAGTAGTAAATAAATTTAAAAGCATACATTAATAATTACATAATTAGACACAAGTTAAGAATCAAATTAAAATGTACACACCAAAAGCCCCGTTTCACAGTGAGTGGATGGCGTTTGTCAGGATGTTTCTTATGTGGTGAAAACCACCTTTAAAAAAATGTCAGGTGGAGTTAGCTTCGGTTAGTAAATGATGATCTACCTGGTTTATGGCTTCACCTGGTCCAGGGATGTCTGCGGCCGTCGGGCTGAGTAAATCTTTTGCTGGGCAGTGATAACTAATGCTAACTGTTTCTTAGGCAGCAAGAATGTGTGACTGAGTACGTGAAAGACTTTGATTTACAGGTGATCAAGTGAAATTAATGTGTGTGTGTGTTTTATTAACAGCTTGGAAAGACATCACATCAGGAGATTTCACCATAAAGATGTTCCACGGATCTCATTTCTACCTGAAGGACTCTGGAAACGAAAAAATAATTTTGGACTACGTCACAAAACATTTGGAAACCTCAGAAATGGATTATTTATAAACAAAACGACTTTTGTCATTTTTCTACTAATTTATGGTGATATTTAATTGTGTCACCAGTGTAGCTTGTTATGTTTTGACCGCCCCAGTCCCACGAGTACAGTGAATTCAGTAACTAAGCTAAAAGTTTTGAGACCTAAAATAAATATCCTATTCCTGTTAATGACTTATTTTAATTATCTAGAGTTTGTTATTTAGAAAGAGTTGATTAAATATCTCTGGATGCATCTTTTTCTGTTTTAATTTGGATTTTTTTTTTTGACTGACTCCACAGAAACAAAACAAATACAATTTCTATTTTTAAATGCATATTTAAATGATTACAGTCTATATATATATATATTCGAGATGCACTATATTCACAAATAAATATATTGCCTCATCATATATGTGACATTTCTACAACTGTTTTATTATTCAAGTTTATTATTTAACCTCAGTTGCAATTCTGAGGAAAAACACAAGCATGTCTATATATTATTGATTCAGAATCAATTTTCAATCATTATTTTTTTTAAATCCTATTTTTTATTATTGAGACCTAAACAAAAATATATATTTGGGATTTTTTTTTTGTTTTTTTTTTTTGCTTCTATTTGTTGCATCACATTTAAGGTAAAACAACCTTAAGTAATGATTTGCAATTGCATGTTAATATTGAGCCACAGGACAATATTTAACAGTGTTCTATGTGCCCTGTGAATAACATGCTTTGCTCTAAGTGCAGTTTTCTTTTGCCCAGTGAAGCGTGAACCTAAAACAAAAACAGGAGCAGTCTAAAGAACACGCAGGTCATGAAACTGTTAGTGTTTTGTGTAGAAACACAGGAGTTAAGGTTATCACATAAATGGAAAAGAATATATTTCCTAGTTAATATTCTTAGAGTACACAGTTAAACGTTCTGAGTTTAGTTTTGTTTCTTTGGCAGCCAGATTCAAGTGAGGCAGAGGATCCAGCTACACGTAGCCATCGTCTCTGGGAGGACGAGGAGGAGGAGGGGGCGGCTGCAATTGATCGCTGTCCATCTGCTGTGTGTCAGGAATGTTCTCCAGTGTGAAGGAGTCAGTGGAGCGAGTGCTGATACGAAGAGGGGCCAGGCGGCGCAGGTTGCTTGGGGTCCTTGGCAAATCCACCTGGGCTCGATGTGACAGAGCCACCATGCTGCTGTCGAGCTCACTCTCCCCAAGCCAAGGTGGAATCTGCAACAAATCCATGGGGTCCAGGTCCGGCATGAAGGCTGGGTTCTCAATCCCAGCTGGATGAACAAAAGAAACTGACTTAGGACCTCAGGTTTCTATATTATGGCTTCTGTTGTTCTCAACGATTTGCAAATATAATTTATAATAGAACGTGTCACGTTTAAAATGACAAAAAGAAAAAAATAAGGCAATTTCAATGGTCGTAGGAACATGTCTGAAGTTTGGAGAGAGTAATGTTTCCAACAGTCTAGCTTCCACTTTTCTTCCATAGGCATTAATATACCCCCATACCATTAGAGATGCAATCTTTTGAAGTGAGTGCTAATAACAGTGCAGTGTCCATGTGTCCCATCCAGTTCATTTCAAGTGAGCTGCGTTTCTGCATGTCGTGGTTAACTTTGTTCACAGACAACATGTGGAGGTGTTTCTGAGCCCATGCTGTGATTTCCTAAACGGTGTCATGACAGTTTTTAATGCAGTTTTTAATCCAAAGATCACAGGAATCTGTTGTGGATCTTTGGCCATGTTTTTTGCACACAGAGATTTCTCCAGATTTTCTGAGTCTTGTGATGAAATAATCAAAGTCTTTGCCGTTTTATTTTGAGGAACATTTTTCTAAAATTGTTCCTTGATCTGTAGACAACATTTTGCAGATTGATGAACTTCTACCCATGTTTTGTTCTGATAAACTCTGCCTCTCAAAGATAATCTTTTTAGACATAGTCATGTTACTGTTCTGTTACCAGTTAAACTAGAAAAATGTTCTTCCAGCTAATTCTTTTTAGTACCACCTAATTTCCAACCGTCTTAACTTTTTACGATTACTGCTAACATCAAATTCAACATAAGATAATCTTTTTCACAAAACAGTAAAATGTGTACTTTTACGAGCTATATGGATTTATGAGATTTGACACTGTGTGCTTGATGCTTCTCGTCTGTGTACATAAATTAAATTCAACACAGCTTCAGTTCTCTGGAAATTTTTTACAAATGTTTGTGGAGTCGGAGCAGAATTAGGCAATTCTACGATAATGAGCTGTCTTCACACATGCACTGCAGCCATAAACTGTTCCCAACAGGTTAGAAGGAAAACGTTCAAAAGAAATGAATCGAACATTAGCCAGGCTTTAACCTGCCAGTCCACTAGTACAAAGTCCATATGATGTATGACAGTCGGGTACTTTTACCCTGCAGTTCACCCTTACATAAACCACATACGGTATTTCCAGTAGTGCGAGCCTGAGGATGACTGTTTCCTGCTGTGTGCTGCACAGAAAGGTACAGCACACAAACAGAAACACACAAAGACTGAAAACTGAGAATTTCATTTTAAAGATTACATTTTTAAAATGGTACTTAAGTAAATTTTGCACTGAAGGGGGTTTGTTTCATATTGTATCTATTTTGACCTTAATTGCATTTAAAGTATGGTTCTGTAATATTTGT